CTGACAGAAGAAGAAGAAGAAGAAGAAGAAGAAGAAGAAGAAGAAGAAGAAGAAGAAGAAGAAGAAGAAGAAGAAGAAGAAGAAGAAGAAGTGAAAGGGGAAAAAGAATGCCAGCAACAGAAAATAGAGAATCAAATAGAGAAAGAAAGAAAGAAAGAATAAAAAAGAAAGAAAGAAGGAAAGAAAAAAGGAAAGGAAGAAGGAAAGAAAAAAGGAAAAAAAGGAAGAAAGGAAGGCAAAGGTGGCGAGCGCTTTGATGGTACGATATACACAATAAATGGAAAGCTTTGATAATTGATGCAAGACAATCACATGGCGTTAGCTTTGATCCAGAGCTGTCGCCTAATCGTGCAGCATGGTGGTTGATATCATTGAAATGTATGACTGACTCTCGTGATAAGCTGTCCCCTGTCTTCATCCCCGGCATAGACATAGATTAAAGTATTTCCTGTTTCTTTGTAAGCAGGCACGACAGACGAACTGCGTAGCAAAGAATCATTTTCGTGAAGTACCAGATCTGATATTGGCTATCATGGCCTCACACTCATGTTTCTATTCAGAGGGTCTAAAACCTAACATCATTATCATATTATTATTCTCATCTTTCGTCCCACTTACCCGACTTTGGTCTATCTTTGTCTCTTTCGCCTTCTGTTTTTCCAGTAAGAGCAAGATGCTCAAAATTTTTACGTCTATTCACGTGTCCCAGAAACTGCAATTGTCTCTTTCCTAATTGCTATTTTCTAAATCAGTGAGCGACCCTTTCTTTTAGCACTTTCTCATGTGATTTTCTTTTTATTCCATGAAACTTTCAACAGTCGCCCAAGAATCCAAATTTAGGTTGCTTCAAGTAATTCTTTGGTGATTGCCCAACGTTCATAGTCATGTGAGAGTATAAACCATACATAACCTTTTAAAACTTTCTTTGGTGATCACTGGGTATGTCTTCCTGAACATTTTTGTTTTATTTCCTGTTTTAATTAAGCCCTGCCCTTTCCATCTTACTTCTGAACTGTAATATATTTTCTACCCTCGTATCTATTTCCTGTTTTTATATATTTTTTATTTGCCTTTCCTAACATTCCACCTGGCTGTTCGACACGGTTTAAATCGAAGGTTTGTAGTTCAGTCTGCAGCATGATGTCATTGAGGCACCATCAGTTGCTCTTGGCGGGCCCCTGCCGAGTCAGGAGTTCGGAGCTGGACCATGACCCCCCTTGAAAATTTGCTTTAAAACTACTTTGACTATCCATTATATTTCTTTAGAAATTATATAAGTGTTTTTTTGTCACTTACTGTATGTTTGCGTACAATTTTCTCTGCTAGTCTTTGTTATCCAATGTCTACCCATAAGGCAGTGGAGTCTTTGATTAGATTTGTGGCGTCTGCCGTCACACAAATGTTTACTTCGTTGAGCATTTGAGGTATTTATTGAAACACCTGTGCTACCAGGGTTCTCCTCTACTGTCTGTGATCATATCCCACTGCTTAGCGGCGAACCTCCAAACCTGGAAGCAATTTCAATATCCACCATCCAGGGCACGCTGTGTTGGATATAGGGACTAATCCTAAATTTTTAATACTTTACAAGGGGCAAAGAAAGCAACTAAAATAAGCACCTGGCTTAAATGTCAGACTGGCCCTGCAATATTTACCTAGCCAAGATCGATGGCAATCACTTAGCTTCTGTTGTGGTAGGATTCCTTGTGGACAGGCTGGCCACTCCTCCCTCCGCATGAGTGTATCTACTTCGTGACATCACTACATCAATGTTTAAACGTTTTAGATCTCACGAAAATGATTCTGAGATCACATTCGGGGACGAAAAGGAGGGCTCTCAAAATGTCTCTCTCTGCCCCTTTTTCCATCCCCTCCCTCTCTCTTTCTCTCCCTCCCACTTTCTCTCTATTTGTCTGTCTGTCTGTCTGTCTGTCTGTCTGTCTGTCTGTCTGTCTGTCTGTCTGTCTGTCTGTCTGTCTGTCTGTCTGTCTGTCTGTCTGTCTGTTTGTCGTCTGTCTGTCTGTCTGTCTGTCTGTCTGTCTGTCTGTCTGTCTGTCCATCTGTCTGTCTCTTATCCCCCCCTCTCTCTCTCGTCCATCTGTCTGTCTCTTCTCCCCCCCCCCCCTCTCTCTCTCTCTCACTCTCTATCCTCCTCCGTCTTTCTATTTGAGATGACTTTCAACAAAAATGCACGTTTCATTTCTTAGCATTTTTATTTTCAATATTCTTGTCATCTGTTGTTAGTGGGAGACAAAGTGTGTCAGCGTTATACAGCATGTATGGTCGTTGATTTACTACTATGAACGAGCATTATGTATCTAGATCGAAGTGATCTAGCATAACTGTGAATAAAATCGTTATGTCATATGGCACTGATATAACAATCGTAAAAACGTAAAATCCACATACTTTTCTTGAATTGATATACCATAAAATGGGAATACATCATGCAATGCTCAGATTACAAGCGTAGAAGAATGTAGAAGGATCAATTAAAGTTTCAAGACAAAGTACCAGCTGTCACGTCTCATAACTTTTCATTCTAAAATGCACAAAAGGTAGAAAAGCCTGTTCTGAGCATTGTCAAATACCAAAGAGCATAAAAAAAAAAACAAATCCAGGTACGCACCATGATTATGGTATGTTTAAAAAAATAAAAACTAATAATAATTCTGTTTATTTGCAGTTTGAGAAAAGAGAAGCACCTCAATATAAAAACGGTCTTTTAAAAATGAGAATACAAGAATACTGCAAGACAGAAACAACAGATGGGGGAGAAATAGAGAGAAGTATTATCTACCCCCTATCAACTTCTGGAATAAACATATAAAGTACCCCCCGGGGTGTGCTACTGACTGAAGTGTCTTTAGGCCATTCCCAAAGGGGGAGGTGGGAGCGTTAACATCTCGAGTTCTCATGCACAGTAGACTTGTAATTGTAAATGGGCTGATTCATCGATGTCATGCTCATAACTGTGTCTGACCTGCCATAGGGAACTGCTTCATTTTGTTTCCTAATCTTTACTATCATCATTTTTCCTCTACATTTTTTGTACATTTATCACTCTCTTGTGACCCGCTATTTCCGGGGTGCCTTGATAGTCGAAGCAGACTTTGTGATGTTAAAGCTAGAGAGGTGAGCAGAGTAAGTCTGATTCCCTGTAAGGACTTCTCTGTTGACATCCACACCTTGGCGCTCGTATGACCTTATGCAATTGTGAGCGCCGTGAAACCTCTACTAAAACAAAACCAAAAACATATAAAGAACAGCTCTACCGAAAAACAAACGTCTGTGGTGCCGCGGCTAGTCGCCTCATCGTTGCATCCACGAGGTATGAGCTCGAATCCAGTGTTGTTTTTACAATATCTCACAGGAGCAACGAACTGTCTAGTAGTGTACTGTCTAGGGTATGGCATGATACAGTATCATAGTTACTCCTGAAACACGTAAAGCCCAAAAGTGCTCTTTTAAAGTTCAAACAGGTTGGAGTCCAATGTAAAACCAATACACATATTCATAGTCTAAGGGCATTCAGGTGAAGCGGTGCATTGTCCGACTTGCAATGTAATAGAGTTCAGCCGTGGCATCTTAAGAAAAAGGTATACTTTATTCTATTTTCCTAAGTTTTTTTTCCAGCTTTTGCAATTTTAAAGTTTCCAAATAGCTTATTCCAACTGACTTCAATTGTAGGAAAAATATGACATTTTAGAACAAAATATTAGCAATACATGTAATTCCCTACAAATTATTTTTAAAAATTTTGGCTGGCACTAACACTTTTTTTTCGAGGACCATGACTACACAACCACTTGTTATTATTCGATCTTGGAATTGTATTTCCTTACCAACTAATCACTAGTAGCTCGTTGAACTGCAGCCCTAGGCTTGTCGGGGACAGGATACCCAAAAACCAGTAACAGGAACATTATCTTGCTTGCTTCTAATCTGATACGGCAATGGATCAAAATATAAGAACAGTCGTGATGATCTTTTATCGTATTCCGGGCTCGACGAATTTTTGTTTCTAAACGTACATAAACAATATATTACATGTTACATCAAAGTGTCCTCAGTTTTTTGATGATCTGTTTGTCCAGGAACACATCGCCGTGGAGCAGCACCACCTTGTGGACGCTTCCAGAGCTTCATCTCCGCCAGGCTCTGCGGCAGCTGGTACTTCGTGGTCTCTGGCAGGAAGAAGGGCATCACGCTCATGGCGAGGCTGCTGATGCCGAAGACGAGGCCAGGGGCGTAGACAATCTTCTCCATGAGGAGCTCCGCGAAAGGGGAGAGCATCCCACCAAGCCGTGCGCCTAAGTAGGCCAAGCCCAAGCCCATGTTCCGTAAGTTGGTTGGGAACAGTTCTGGGGTGTATAGATATATAACGTTGAAGGAGCCTGTGATGCCAACTTTTCCAATGATGCTCAGAGCTGTTATCGCAATCTTTTGGTCCGGTGCCAGCTCCCACATTGTTGCAACAACGGTCAACGACACCCCTGCAATAATGCTAAAGAAAGCGAAAACTCTACGTCTTCCTATCTTGTCTAGGTAGAAATAGCAAAAAATTGCTTGCGGCATCTCAGCAACAATATTGAGAGAGTAGTTGGCATAGATGGTTCCGTGTAGAGTGGAAGACATGAGAATCAAGGAAAAGTAGGTAAAACTGTTGAAGAACCAGGCGACTACGCTGAACAAAGTATGTCTCCTCAACATTGGATCCTTGAACAGATCGCAAGGTGCGTCCTTTCGTGGCGTGATCCCGTTTGGCAGAGGTACGTTAGAATATTTAGCCGTGTTGCTGTGACTGACATTCAAGACAAACACCCCCTTATTGTCTGAATCATTGTCTTTCGTGTCTGAAGTGTAAAACGCATCTATAACTCGTTTCACGTCAACACCATTCCATCTCGAAGCTCTTTTCAGCACTTCCATGATCCGCTCATCTTTCCCATTAGCTGCCAGCCAGCGTAATGTTTCATCAAAAAGAAGAGAGATAGGGATAATTTTCACGGAAAAGGCTGCGATTGTGAACTCCAGAATCCTCCACGACTGGTTTCGTAAAAGATAAGCTACAGGTGTGAGCAGGAGACAGGAGAATGACCAGTTGAGACAGCCTATAAAAGCAAAGAGGAAGGCTCGGTGTCGAGTCACCAAAGTTTCCATCATAGCAGTTATAGTCGCTGCTTCCATACCCTGGAGAAAGAATCCAATCAGAAATTTGAAGCCGACAAACATTCCGTAATTCACGGAGCACGCCAAACCCAGAGAGGACGCACACAATAGGGCACAGCACAAAAGCAAAACTGGCCTGCGTCCGTAACGGTCTGTGAAGTACGGGAACAGAAGCATCGCAATCCCTTGACCTGCAGTCAGTGTAAGTTGCGATATTCCAATTAAGTATTTCCGCTCGCACACAAGATGGAACTCGGACACGAAATACATGTCTTTTGGGTAGAGGTACTCCACGTCAAACGCCGAGCACTTTTCAGTAAAAGAGCTGTTAGAAGCCAAAGAAGTATTTCCAATACCGCCATTAAAAACATTTATGTTGCAAGTACTATCAAACTTCTCTTTCGTGTCACTTTCAGATATGTTCCAGTAGGTTAGGTCTTTGAATTTGCTGTCATTAAAGATGGATGGTGTTCTACGACACCTGAACGGGTTATGCTGTCCTGTGAAGACAACGCTAAACATGTTCATGGCAGCCGACCAGACAGAAGAACAAAGGACACAGTACTGGACCATGTTGTAGCGTCGCAACGGCCCTAGGGTTTCAAAAGCAGCATCGACGTTTCCCACTTTCGGCGGCATATTGAATCTAAAGGACACGAGGCGAAGTACTGTTTCTCAAAACGAATCTTCTGAATGAACAAGTCTGCACTAGCAAGTCATGTAACAATTGTCAACAAAAATAAAAATATCACATCTTTGCGAAAGATGAACGTTTCTCCTACTGGCTTGATTTCAGGCTCTGCAGATTGCATTAACTATTCTGCCAATGCTACCATAGAATCATGTGGTATCTAAAAATGAATACAGCATGAAACTCTCAGGAAAAGGCCTTCTCAGTCCACTAGCTTTCTCTCTTATAAAAATAATGACTCTGAAGTCAAAAATGAATATGATAATGTCTTTTGAGCCAGCAATTAATCATATCGGTTTCGCATCAAGACCTTGGTTGAAGATTTCAAAAGAATTTTAGACTCTGAGATGAGGTGTAAAAGATTTTTAAAAAAGCTTTAACAATGTCACATAGTTTATTCATTGTGTAAATGACCCTTAAAGAGATAATTACCGTTTCAAAGACACATGTTACACTGGCGTTATACGAGTTCAAGTTATGTCTACCACCTAATGCCTGCGGGATACCTATTGTTGTCTGATTGCATAAAGGTCAAATTAGTTAGGAGTTCCTTTTCCACCTAAAGGGTACGATGTGTTGCATAAAGTTCTTCCATATTTTCAAGTCTTAACAGTCGTGCTTCTTTGAACACATCATTTTATACTGTTAACGCGTGTTTGTTGGGTCTGGGCCCAATTAGCGTGATAAAGTTTGCATATTAACCCATACGTTTTATATACTGAGTTTTGTATTCGTTCAGACAAGCTTATTGACATGATGACTATGAATGTATGCAAAGCTACTTGTGTAACTATAAAGACTGACTTACACATCTTCTGGAATCTGTACACATTCATGGACAGAATGCAAGAGCTATGTTGAATTCCAGTACTCAATGTTCCTAATCTGACAATCGCTTTAAAAGGAATATCGTTTGACCCTGTAGATTTTTCGTTTTCTCTTCCTTAACTCTTTGAGGACGCGCTGTTTCGGGGTACTTAAAGATATATGCTCTACCTGGCTATTCATGACAATCTTTTTTTCAATTCGGTTTTCATGACCTAAAACATAGATAGGCAGGCAACAACATTATGTATACTATAAAAGTATGCAATTTTGTGTAGCTTATTTGTGTATAAAGCTTTGAAATAAGCCATAGCATTGCTTTGAGTCTACATTCTGGTCGGGCATATGTGTCTGTTACGTCGTTAAAGTTAATTGCGACAAGTGCTTCTTCTTTCAAAACTGGCGGTCTATTTCTTTCTGTCTTTGATTTTTAAAAAATCATTTCTCTTATCCGTTTGGCTCCTTTTGTACTGTGACTATCAGTTTAAAACATCCCATATGTCCATTAAAACACGCTCTCCTTCTGCTCTTATACAGCCTGTGTTTGGTTTGAATAACCTGTCATCCCACTAACTTTTTTGATTTTGGAACGAATGTATTTTTGTGTTTGATTTGCTTCTTCTGTATGTCTTGACAATAAACTTTTTTGCTTCGTCGTTTCCATTTGTTTTAATATCGATGGGTCTAGGATATTGACAAGGGACAAAAAAAAATATCGATGGGTCTGGGTCATTCATTTAAAAAAGAAATTGGAAAGGGGCGGGGGGTGGGGGGGGGGGGGGTCTTTCAATTCTTCAGTTGTCTTAAAAAATCTATTTGAAATTTGGGTTTTTTCTTTGTCTTTTTAGTTTTTAAAAAATCATCTGTATCTTACATAATGTAGCTGGTACATGGCCACAATCAGAAACTGCTCCTGGCAATGGTTTTATTTTCAGTTTCTGAAAAAGTGTCTTTTACAAGTATAATGTCTTTTTGTTTGTTTTTGTAAAGTGTTTTACGGCGCTCGCAACTGCATAAGTCATATGAGCGCGCGGGACACACCTAATATTTTCAGTTGGTAGGAAATTTTGAATTTTGCCCGGGTGGCGGCCGAAGCCTACTCTTATCGATTTTAGACCACCAAGGGATCTTTAACGTGTGCAACTTGCACACGGGCCCTCCGATATTTTTTGCCCTTGGCCGAGAAGGCTAGGTGTAGATCTTTCCTACCAGAAGATCAGGGGTGTGGCAGAAAGATAGCATTAAGGAGGAGCCAAGGAGTAGCAGTAGAAAGGCTGCAGAAAGAGCCTGGAGCCCAGAGGAGGGAGCAAAGGAGGTGAGGGGGTGGGGGCAGAAAGTGGAAATGAATGCAGGCAACAGAACATTGCTAGAGAGCAGGAAAGTAGGTGAAAGGAGACAATTTTAGAGAAGAAAATTTTTCGGTCGCTACCCAGATTCGAACCCGGGACCTTTGAATGAGAGGCCAACATCTTAACCTCTAGGCCACGAGAGCCCCCCCGTATAATGTCTAAGTGGCTTCTAAACCTATCTCTAGAACTCTGACTTGCGTAACGCCTTTACAGTATTTTACATCATGGAAAAGTGAGTGTTGTACGGTGCTCTCAACTGCATTAGGTAACATGAGTGCACGGGACACATTACACATTTTCAGTTGGTAGGAAAGTTTAAATGTTGCCTTGGTGGTGGGTGGCAGAAGCCTACTCTTATTGATTTTAGATCACCAAGGAATCTTTAACGTTCGCAAATTGCACACGGGACCTCAGAAATTTTTCGCCCTTGTCCGAGAAAGCTCGGTGTAGATCTTTCCTACCATAAGATCAGGGGTGCGGCTGAAAAGCAGAAGTAATAAGGAGCCAAGGAGTAGAAGTAGAATGGCTGCACAAAGAGTCAGAACCCCAGAGGAGGGGGCAAAGGAGGTGAGGGGGTCGGGGCAGAAAATGGAGACCGAAGTAGGCGACAGAACATTGCTAGAGAGCAGGAAAGGAGATGAAAGTTTTTGTGTCACTATTCGGATTCCAACCTGGGACCTTTGAATGAAAGGCGAACACATTAACCTCTAAGCTACCAGATGTTTGTTAGAAAAGAAGGAGCAAACCACACCAGAGCACCGACCAATCACCCACGGTCTCCTCTTCTCTCCACGACCAACCCCTATTTGGTTCGCAACTGCTCAACAGCAGCTAATCTCTGTATTTGGAAGCCAATTCCTCTGGCGTGTGGACAAGTGTGAGTGAAGATAAGTGTAATTTGTTCAAAATATGTTTGTTCATCATTCGTTTAGTAGAGCGTACGTCGCCCTAAGCTTGAATTCAACGCTAGTCAAGGAAGGATACGTCGACTGAAGGGACTAAAAAAGCAAACGCCGAGAACAAAAATGTTCCTAGAAGGGCACAAGTATTTAATTTGAATCTGACTTTGTTTCGAACCGTTAACGGTTGCGCCATTTTGAAGTCTGTATACAGCGGCTGGCTCTCCTCATTGTTCATCCTCAGTTTCGTTGCCTGTCTCAGCCTCTGTCTGTCTGTCTGTCTGTCTGTCTGTCTGCCTGTCTGTCTGTCTGTCTGTCTGTTCCTCATACACTCACCAACACACACACTTTCATATACATACACGCTCTCGCACACACAAACACGCACACATACAAAAACACCCGCGTACCCATTTCCTTCATTCTCTCTCTCTCTCTCCCCTATCTCCCCTCCCCCCAACTCACCCTTTCTCTCTTAATTCCCATTTCTCTCCTCGACTTGTCCCCCCGTCCATATTTCTTCCTCTCAGTGTCTCTCTGTGTCTCTGTGTCTCTCCGTGTCTCTCCGTCTCTGCCTGTATGTCTGCCTGTCTGTCTGTCTGTCTGTCTGTCTGTCTGTCTGTCTGTCTGTCTGTCTGTCTGTCTGTCTGTCTGTCTGTCTGTCCGTCCGTCTGTCTGTCTGTCCCCCTCCTCTCTATCTCTTTGATACAATTTTTAACACTGGTGTTCTTTTAATTTCTTAGCAATTTTATTTTCAACACACTTGGGCAATGACACCTGTGCCATCAAAACAAGAGAAAACACGCTTCTGTATATTATTATACAGTACATGTATAATGATTTCTGTTTGTTGATTGACCACTGAAATGACACCCAATGAATTTAACTGATCTTGCTTAGAAGAACTTTAAATAACAATTTTCTGCCGTTTGGAAGTGAACGTAGCATTTGTAAGAAGTAAAATCCATACATTCTTCTAGAGTTAATACATACTGTAAAGACAGGAGTGATTGATCATGCACAGCTTAGAAGCATAAAAGCAACCCTAAGATAAATTAATACCTAAAGGTAGTTCTCACAATTTTCTCAACTTACAAAGGGAAAAGAAAACCTGTCTTTGACAATATCAAATCCAATAGAACATGAAAAAGCCAATTCAGATACATCTCGTCATTATGTTATGATTTCGACATTTGAACTGAAAGCTGTTCTAACTGTTTATCTATAGTATCTAAGCAGAAGCACATTCACACAATAACGGCCTTTAAAAGCTGAGGATAAAGTATATCGACAGACAGGAAGAAAAGAGAGAGAGAAGGGAAAAATTAGAAATCCCCCCCACCAGCTGCTAGACAAAACATAGACACATTATAAGGAAGCCCACTTCATGACCGGCGTCTGTGGTACAAACGTTAGGCTCCTTGCCGCTGCACACAGAAAGAGTGAGTTCGATTGCAGTGTTGGAACACTTTTTACTGGGATGCTGTACCCGACTCATTCAAGGCTGAAGATGTCACTGGATTATATCTTGGGTATTTTGGATCATTTCTACAATCCCGATGTCGAACTGGTTAAAAAAATTATATTATTAGACATTCCAGAGGTGTGAGTTATGATACTTTCTTTGAAAAGAAGACATGATTGTTGTTGCGAGTTTTAATCAAATATTGATACAATTATCATGTGTTGGAAATGAACAAACTACCACAGCATCACACCGGTAGTAGTATTTATATCCCCCACCCCCATAATACACATCAAGTAAAGATAAAAGATATAAACAATGGCGTACGAATAAAAAAGGATGACATAATGTTATCAAGAAGGCTTAGCACACCATGTTTGATAAAAACGCACAACGCTTCATTCGAGCCCTTCAAAAACTTTCTACAGGAATCAGAACGAAATCCAAATGTGCTGAAAGAGCTCTATATAGTTTGTCGTTCATAATAACAATAATGTCACGCTCATAAGATAAATACCTAAGTCATTTAGCCATTTTGAGAAAATAAGAAAAAAAACACACTGTTTCTTTCGAACAATTAACTGTGAAACACGTGGATGTTGGTACACTCAGTTGATTTTATATGTCGTCTATTTTTAATCTTGTCACCGTCTAACCCCCTTCTTCGAATGGACTTTGCAGTTTTTGAAATCTACGCCCCTATCACCTGTTCACCTTCTTTAACTGAGGACAACCCTTTGTTTCTAATAACCATTCAATTTCTCAAATGTCTTTCAACTTTTCTTCACCTACTTTTCATCTTTCCCATCGTCTACCCATCATTCAACTTTTCTTCACCGACTTTTCACCTTTCTCATTTTATTTCCACCATTCAACTTTTTTAAAACGACTTTTCATCTTTCTTATTTTCTTTCCATCTTTTCATCTCTGCAAGAGTCTGCGGCAGTTGGTGTTGGGTCGTCTCTGGGAGGAAGTAGGTACTGAAGCTGAGAAGAAGGCTTCCCACACCGAAGATGACACCTGGGGCGTACACGATTTCCTTCATGAGCATCTCCGAGAAGGGAGATAGCATCCCACCCACTCGAGCACTCAGGTAGGACACACCAAAGCCCATGTTCCGGAGGTTGGTGGGGAACAGCTCAGGAGTGTACGTGTAGATGATGTTGTAGGACCCTGTCACCGACAGTTTTCCAATCAGACTCAGGACCATTATGGCTATAGATTGTTCTGGGGCCAGGTATCGAAGCATTGCCATAGAAATAAGCGAAGCTCCTGTGAGAAGACTGAATAAACTGAAACATAATCGCCGTCCTAGTTTGTCTAAAAAGAGATATAAGAAAAACGCCTGGGGGATTTCCACTAAAGTATTTATAACAAAGTTGAGATATAGACTACCATGAAGGGTTGAGGCCATTAGAGTCAAAGAAAAGAATGTAAGGCTGTTGAAAAACCAGGAAACTATAGCGAATATGACATGAACTCTAAGCATGGGGTCGGTGAAGAGCTGCCAGAAGCTGAGTTTTTCTTCTTTGTCTATCTCTGTCCCAGCCTGCTGCTCTGTGTCTACGACATTAGTGGTTGACTTTTGCTTTGTGTCTTTGCTTCCAGTTTCCTTCACAGATTGTCCTGATTCATCGTTTGGGGGATTAACTATGAAAGACCCGATGGGCTTTATCTCGATGCCAGTATGCATGTTACTGTTTTCGTACCTACCCCGAGTAAATGCCTTTATCACACGTTCAAAGCTCTTACCGTTCTGTTTTGAGGCGCGTTTTAAAATTTTGACAACTTCAGCTTTTCTGCCGTTTGCAGAGAGCCATCTCAGACTCTCATCAAGAAAAAAAGGCATCAATAGAATAGGTATATAAAATGCTAAAAGACCTAGTTCTAGACTTTTCCAAGAAGAAGATCTGAACAAATAAGCCATAGGACTCAAAGTAATGGACGCCAAAGACCCTATCACACTTCCCAGACAGGCGAACATACTGGCGCGGTGTCTGGTGACGAGGATTTCCATATTCATGGTTATATTAGAAGCTTGCAGACCTTGAACGAAAATACCCACTAAAATCTTAAACACGGCAAGCATGGGATAGTTGACAGAAGTAGCCAGGCCAATGGATGATAACAAACTCATAACAGAACAAAACAGAACCACAGGTTTCCGGCCGTGATGGTCGACAAAGTAAGGGAAGGTGAAGGTGGCTATGGAGTTTCCTATCACAAGCAGTGACTGCGACAGTCTGCCCAGAACTTCTCGGTCACAGACAAGGTCAAAGTCGGAGTAAAAAGATCTGTCCTTTGGGAGCTGATACTCAACTTCGAGGGCACTGCAAGCTCCAGAGCCCGATGTGTTGTGAGATGTTTTAGCGACACAGGAGTCTCCGAACTTATGCAAGGAAGAGATATTAATAAATTCACTGGAGTTTAAACTGGAGTTGCTGGTTGATATGTTTCCGGTGATCGGGCAACGGAAGTGGTTGGTCTGTCCAGTGAACATCACACTCAACATTTGTTGAGTAATGCACAACGCGAGCACAGACTGCAATGTGTATTGAATTAGCGTATAGCGACCCAGAGGTCCCAATTCTTCCAGGGCGGCATCCACATCATCCTTATCTTCGGTGTTAGACATTTTACTGTTTTAAACAAATTTAACCCAGCAGTCAGACTTTGAGATAACTCTTGATTAAAACTTGTAAAAGATCCTAATGAATCACACTTGGAGGACCCAAGACGCTTTAGTCTATGGTGCCAAGAAAGGAGCAAGAAGTATTTCAGCCTCACTGTTGTTGCTCAAACCTCGTTGGTTCTCCGGTGGGAGAGGGCTGAAACGCTTACGGAAGAATGCCTTTGTTCTGATGATGCCCTGGCATTAAAAATTCCGAAACGATTGTTGCTTGCACTGTTACAAACCAGTTCAAACACAGGGTATGTCTTTCAAGAATCTTTTTAAAACCACACAAGTTGCACCATTATTTTGTAAATAGAAGCTATCACTGAGGGAAATCAGAGGAGCATTGTCACTGAATTCTTGTCCAGTCTCCTGATTTAACGAACAATCCAATACAGCTGTAACTGATCCACGTGTTTCCTTTACACGTTTTTTCCCTACTAATATAAAGAAATAATATCAATGTTTCTCGAAGATAAAAGTTTGTATGTTGCTCAACGAACGAGACAATCAGGCATCTAAACTCAGCCGTCTGGCAAGTGTAGGTAATTTTACTCTTGAAGTTGGATCGAACCCTTATCTGTTCAAATAAAGCTTTTGTTTGCCTTCGTTGCTAAAGTTCTTCGCTATTCTGAGCCGTGAAAAAGCGGCTGAGGCATTTGAACTTAATCATGATTTGCAAGTTTAAACAGTATGTGATACACGAGGTTCCGAATGATGCTTAACACTTACTTTATTCAGAACTCTTCATAATATAAGAAAACAAACCAGTATCGACGCACTCCGAGAGTCGGAACTATTCACAAGTTTTCATAATGTTAGACGTCGGAAGCTGTGTGTAATGATTCCGTCTTGAATGCTGCGCAACAGAAGTTTATAAAATAGTATATCAAGTTATAGTCTAGACTAAAAGGAGTACACGAGGGTATTAAGTACAATTAACACGTCTCTGAACAGCCAGACTGACAGAGCTCGAGGTAATTCAACCTCAAGAGCTCTTCAACGAAGTCCATATTTTATTGTTATCTATTCTGACATTACACTACGTATTTTGGAGGGAAGGTGGAACGAGTAGTTTTGTCTGATGATGACCTTAAACTACGAATCGGAATACATCGACCTAAGCTACTGAAAGCCTCGAGGAGATTTGTTGAAAACGCTGCATAAAACAGGAGAATCTAGATAAAAGTATATAATGTCTTTCGGCGCTTCAATTGAAGAGGCGTTATGCCACATTTTGAAAAATCGCAGATCTTTCTCTATCACATTGTTCAAATGTGAGGATCGGACTGTAAATAAGTTATTTACTCATTGAAAGATATATTATGTGACGGAGACAGATCTGCGGCCACGGAAAGAAACAAAAACGATTTTAGAAAAATGTGGCACACGGGTTTCTTGAACTGGACTTTAATAAGTTGTGTTGATATTTGTTTGGGTACTTCGACGTCCTTATTATTAGTTAAAAGCAATGATAAATATTGTGTACATGTAAGACAAACACACAAAGAGAGAGAGAGAGAGAGAGAGAGAGAGAGAGAGAGAGAGAGAAAGAGAGAGAGAGAGAGAGAGAGAGAGAGAGAGAGAGATAGAGAGAGAGAGAGGGAGAGAACGTTACAAGAAAATAACATACACACACAAAAAAGGAGGAGAGATAGGGACGACAGAAGTTTGTTAGAAAAGAAGGAGCAAACCACACCAGAGCACCGACCAATCACCCACGTTCTCCTCTTCTCTCCAAGACCAACCCCTATTTGGTTCGCAACTGCTCAACAGCAGCTAATCTCTGTATTTGGAAGCCAATTCCTCTGGCGTGTGGACAAGTGTGAGTGAAGATAAGTGTAATTTGTAGAAAATATGTTTGTCCATCATTCATTTATTAGAGCGTACGTCGCCCTAAGCTTGAATTCAACGCTAGTAAAGGAAGGATACGTCGACTGAAGGGACTAAAAAAGCAAACGCCGAGAACAAAAATGTTCCTAGAAGGGCACAAGTATTTAATTTGAATCTGACTTTGTTTCGAACCGTTAACGGTTGCGCCATTTTGAAGTCTGTATACAGCGGCTGGCTCTCCTCATTGTTCATCCTCAGTTTCGTTGCCTGTCTCAGCCTCTGTCTGTCTGTCTGTCTGTCTGTCTGTCTGTCTGTCTGTCTGCCTGTCTGTCTGTCTGTCTGTTCCTCATACACTCACCAACACACACACTTTCATATACATACACGCTCTCGCACACACAAACACGCACACATACAAAAACACCCGCGTACCCATTTCCTTCATTCTCTCTCTCTCTCTCCCCTATCTGCCCCCCCCCTCCCCACAACTCACCATTTCTCTCTTAATTCCCATTTCTCTCCTCGACTTATCCCCCCGTCCATATTTCTTCCTCTTTGTGTCTCTCTGTGTCTCTGTGTCTCTCTGTGTCTCTCCATCTCTGCCTGTCTGTCTGTCTGTCTGTCTGTCTGTCTGTCTGTCTGTCTGTCTGTCTGTCTGTCTGTCTGTCTGTCTGTCTGTCTGTCTGTCTGTCTGCCTGTCTGTCCCCCTCCTCTCTATCTCTTTGATATAATTTTTAACACTGGTGTTCTTTTAATTTCTTAGCAATTTTATTTTCAACACACTTGAGCAATGACACCTGTGCCATCAAAACACAAGAGAAAACACGCTTCTGTATATTATTATACAGTACATGTATAATGATTTCTGTTTGTTGATTGACCACTGCAATGACACCCAATGAATTTAACTGATCTTGCTTAGAAGAACTTTAAATAACAATTTTCTGCCGTTTGGAAGTGAACGTAGCATTTGTAAGAAGTAAAATCCATACATTCTTCTAGAGTTAATACATAATGTAAAGACAGGAGTGATTGATCATGCACAGCTTAGAAGCATAAAAGCAACCCTAAGATAAATTAATACCTAAAGGTAGTTCTCACAATTTTCTCAACTTACAAAGGGAAAAGAAAACCTGTCTTTGACAATATCAAATCCAATAGAACATGAAAAAGCCAATTCAGATACATCTCGTCATTATGTTATGATTTCGACATTTGAACTGAAAGCTGTTCTAACTGTTTATCTATAGTATCTAAGCAGAAGCACATTCACACAATAACGGCCTTTAAAAGCTGAGGATAAAGTATATCGACAGACAGGAAGAAAAGAGAGAGAGAAGGTAAAAATGAGAAATCCCCCCCCCCCTACCAGTTGCTAGACAAAACATAGACACATTATAAGGAAGCCCACTTCATGACCGGCGTCTGTGGTAATAAAAAAAAAATAATGGATTGCATTTATATAGCGCATATCCACTTATGCAATGCTCTATGCGCTTAACATGATACATATAATGGATTTACAAATCAATTTTAAAGGTACATAGTGTTACGTACTCAAACGTTAGGTAAAAACGTTAGGCTCTTTGCTGCTGCACACAGAAAGAGTGAGTTCGATTCCAGTGTTGGAACACTTTTTACTGGGATGCTGTACCCGACTCATTCAAGGCTGAAGATGTCACTGGATTATATCTTGGGTATTTTGGACCATTTCTACAATCCCGCTGTTGAACTGGTTAAAAATATATATTATTAGACATTCCAGAGGTGTGAGTTATGATACTTTCTTTGAAAAGAAGACATGATTGTTGTTGCGAGTTTTACTCAAATATTGATAAAATTATCATGTGTTGGAAATGAACAAATTACCACAGGATCACACCGGTAGTAGTATTTATATCCCCCCCACCCCCATAATACACACCAAGTAAAGATAAAATATATAAACAATGGCGTACGAAGCAAAAGGATGACATAATGTTATCAAGAAGGCTTAGCGCACCATGTTTGATAAAAACGCACAACGCTTCATTCGAGCCCTTAAAAAACTTTCTACAGGAATAAGAACGAAACCCAAATGTAATAATAATAATAATTGCATTTATATAGCGCATATCCATGCTCAAGAGCATGCTCTATGCGCTTTACAACTATTATTACCCCTGCAGACCCTCTGAAAACACTCAGAAACATTCTCAGCTTCCGCGGAAGCATACTGTGCAAGCTGCGGATTTCACGCGCTCAAACACTATCAAACTGACAAGATCTTTCGCTGTCTATAGCTGGGTACCCATTTCCACCTGGGTGAAGTGAGGAAAATTGGTGCAAAGTGCCTTTCCCAAGGACACAACGTCGGGCCCCTGGCGGGATTCGAACCCACGACCTTACGGTTGCGAGTCCGAGAGCCTAACCACTAGGCCAGCGACGCCAATGTACTGAAAGAGCTCTATATAGTTTGTCGTTCATAATAACAATAACGTCACGCTCATAAGATAAATACCTAAGTCATTTAGCCATTTTGAAAAAATGAGAAAAAACCCAGACTGTTTCTTTCGAACAATTAACTCTGTGAAACACCTGAATGTTAGTGCACTCAGTTGATTTTATATGTCGTCTATTTTTTAATCTTGTCACCGTCTAACCCCCTTCTTCGAATGGACTTTCCAGTTTTTGATA